TTACGTGTTTTTTCTCTGGCCAGAAGTTTGTGGCAAATCATGTTGGCAATCCAACGACGAACCCGTCTGTGGAGGGTCATGAATCGGAAAGGTGAAATGACGAACTTTTTTTTCTTTTTTACACGATGTATTACACCATTCATTGATTTTGCTTGCAAAGCGGGGAGAATGGAACTAGGCTTACCACACCGTGACGTCACTGCCTGAAGATGTCAGTAGTGAGGTGTTACTACATTTGAGCAAAAATGGCCGCTCCCGGACTCAATGATCGTGACTAAAATGATTATTTTTATTTTATTTTTACTGATTAGCGCTAAATTCATTAAATCACAGCAAACATTTTTGTTTTAGGTTAGCTAATGATCCAATGATCATTCCTTTTTGACTGGACTTCCTTTAAGTAACACGTTTTCTAATATTCATCTCCTCAAAGAAATGCATTCAGAGATGGTCCTGTTAATTTATTTTTTTTTTTGCTGCATACCCCCTGTAATCTTCATCTTTTTGCTGAAATCCTCTGACGTTACCTTAAAGGTAAAACATGCCAACAGCACTGCTTTAGCTTTCCTGGTTTTCCATACACAACCTGAGAGTGGAAACTTGAGGAAACTTAGTACTATTAATCCAGACATCTTTTAGAAAAAAATGTGACCTTACATTAGAAGTAATTTCTTAATTTATTTTTATCATCTATAAATATAAAATATTCCTAAAGTATCTCAAAAGCAAACTGCATGGCCCTGCAGTTCATTCAGTTCAGCGATGCATCTGTCTGTCAGTCGGCTTCTGGCAGTAGTATAGACTGTTGGTTTTTCCCAACACTGCACAGGCTCGGCTCCAAGGATAACGAGGTGCCTGAGGTCGGGGAGTTGAGTGAGATCACTGCTTGGTCTGTGGTCAGCTGTAAGACGGATGGCAGCCGGCAAAAGTCAAGCTACTGGTGATGATACATACAGAGAAACCACTAACTACTGGGAACTAAGGGAGCATATTGATTTAACCACATTTAAAACAAATACACAGGAGCACAACATCATTCTGGTTAGGCTTTTTATTTTTGTTTTTTTCTAAAATCATGGTGACATTACTTACTTTTCAATTGCTTCAAATAAAAAAGATGTAAAACTAAAAGTTTCAAGATTAACAGGTAAAAATCTACTTCATCTGCATGTTTATCTGCATCTATTTGATCTGCAAGTAGATGATTTCCATGGGGCTTAACGTTTCTATAAAAGCTACCCTTCAAGTAGGAGATATGTGTGCTTTTCTTTATGGTACAAGTTATCATATTAAATTGAGTTCTTATAGGTCCGATGCAATTTTATGTTTTAATTCATGAAATGAGCAAATTAGTACCTGAAATAAATTCATCTATAAATAATATTCCTATTTTATGAAATGGTCTGCACACTATTTT